TGGAGCTCTTCTGGGTCTCCCACATGGGTACAGGGTCCCAAGGCTTTGGGCTGTCCTCGACTGCTTTCCCAGGCCACAGGTAGGAGCTGGATGGGAAGTGAGGCAGCTGGGATTAGAACCGGCACCCATATGGGATCCCGGGTGTGTGCAAGGCAAGGAGTTTAACCACTGTGATATTGCGCTGGGCCCCTTTCAGGCTCTTTAACTGCCAATTTCCCCGCTGTTTTTTTTTTTTTTTTTTAAGATTTATTTTTATTATTTTTTATTGGAAAGGCGGATATACAGAGAGGAGAGACAGAGAGGAAGATCTTCCGTCCGATGATTCACTCCCCAAGTGAGCCGCAACGGGCCGATACTATGCCGATCCGAAGCCAGGAGCCTCTTCTGGGTCTCCCACGCGGGTGCAGGGTCCCAAAGCTTTGGGCCGTCATCAGCTGCTTTCCCAGGCCACAGGCAGGGAGCTGGAAGGGAAGTGGGGCTGCCGGGATTAGAACCGGCGCCCATATGGGATCCCGGGCGTGCAAGGCGAGGACCTAACCACTTGCGCCACCGCGCCGGCCCTCCCCGCTGTTTTAATTGCTGTGTTTGAAGATGGCAGAAGCATTGTCCAAGGAACTAGATTTCATATCATGTTTGAGCTTAGAGCTGACAGGGCTGCTTCATGCTCCTTCTGAGTCTTCCTGAACCGAGACGGGTTGTGAGCTGCTTTAAAGCCGGTCTTAGGGAAAAGAAGGCATTTGGCACAGCACATCGAGGGCTTAGATGTGGGACATCCCGCTTCCCACCAATGCAGCCCTTCGGAGATAGCACTGATGGCCCCAGCAGCTGGTTCCTGCGACCCACGTAGACTGCATAGATGGAGTTCCTGGCTCCAGCCCAGCCCTAACTATTCTAACCGTATCAGCAGTAGACCAATGGATGGGTGAGCTCTCTCTGTAAAATAAAATAACAATAAAACAAAACAACCAAGGGGACCTGTAGAACATGTGTAATGTTTGTTGATTCAGCAACATTGAAATCAAAACTTGAATCAACAACACTCTGTGGTAAGAAACAGATTCATTTCTGTCTGTGACAGGTAAAATCTAAGGACCTTACGTTGGACGTTGAGTGAATATCCTAGCAAGGATATGAGCTGTATTAGACAACGTACTATTCACCTTCCCCCCCCAAAAAGGACATTAAAATAAAACATTATTAAAGATATCACTCTTTTGGGCCCGGTACGGCGGCCTAGCAGCTAAAGCTCTCACCTTGAACACACCAGGATCCCATATGGGCGCCGGTTCTAATCTTGGCAGCTCGACTTCCCATCCAGCTCCCTGCTTGTGGCCTGGGAAAGCAGTCGAGGATGGCCCAGAGCATTGGGACCCTGCACCCACGTGGGAGAATTTGAGGAGGTTCCTGGCTCCTGGCTTCGGATTGGCTCAGCACCGGCTGTTGTGGTCACTTGGGGAGTGAATCATCGGACGGAAGATCTTCCTCTCTGTCTCTCCTCCTTTCTGTATATCTGACTTTGTAATAAAAACAAATCTCTAAAAGAAAAAGATAACACTCTTATTTTGTGTATATAGATCTGTCGTTTGTATTGAAATACTATTTTAAGCATTGTACGTTATATAATTCTCACAGCAACTCTGACAGAGTTATCTTCTCCTGATTTCAGGAGAATCCCTTACATGAAGGTGCTTAGGGAGCGCAGCCACAGAGGCGTAATTGGAAGGCAGACAGTCAGAGAGTGTGTGCTCAGCTTCTTTAGTGTTGCCTCTCAACAGAAACACTGAGTTTAGAGTAAGTGAAGGCCTGTTCTGAATGCCTGGCGGCCTGGCCCTCATACACGTGTTCCTCACTTCCCTTCAGGTTTTTTCCTTAGGCTCTACAGTAGACAGTTTTGACCTATAAATTTTTTTTTTAAAGATTTATTTTTTATTACAAAGTCAGACATACAGAGAGGAGAGACAGAGGGGAAGATCTTCCATCCGATGACTCACTTTCCAAGTGAGCGCAACGGCTGGTGCTGCGCCGATCCGAAGCCAGGAGCCAGGAACCTCCTCAAATTCTCCCACACGGGTGCAGGGTCCCCAGGCTTTGGGCCGTCCTCGACTGCTTTCTCAGGACACAAGCAGGGAGCTGGATGGGAAGTGGAGCCTCCGGGATTAGAACCGGCGCCCATATGGGATCCTGGCATGTTCAAGGTGAGGACTTTAGCTGCTAGGCCACTGGGCCAGGCCCTTGACCTATAAATTGTAAAATCAGGATTCAGTTCATCTAAATTTATAATTTCATGTCGTGTTTTTCAGCTGGACCTTTCGCTTCTAATCCAAATTTGATTACTTTGTTGGACGAAGGAAAGGAACCTGGAATGGCTGTTAGGGACGGGAGAAGAAACTGCTGCCCTGGTGAGTAAGGCCCGAGCAGGCAGTGAGGAAGTCAGTACTCCAGGTGCTGTGGCCGGGTGCGATGGGCTGTGCCCTAGAGTATTTTGGGGCTCTGTCTTCAAAAGCCCATGGGCTCTGCAGCAAAAAGGCTGAAACTTGAAGCTTAGTAAACACTTTTAAGCTTGGACTAGCAGGGAAGCTTCCTATTAACTTTTATTATTACTTTATTATTACATACTCTCTTATCCTGTTTCCTGATTCACACAAAGGAATTTTTTTAAAAAAAATTTATTTATTTTTATTACAAAGTCAGATATACAGAGAGGAGGAGAGACAGAAAGAAAGATCTTCCGTTTGATGATTCACTCCCCAAGTGAACTGCAATGGCTGGTGCTGTGCCTATCTGAAGCCAGGAGCCAGGAACTTTCTCCAGGTCTCCCACACAGGTGCAGGGTTCCAAGGCTTTGGGCCATCCTCGACTGCTTTCTCAGGCCACAAGCAGGGAGCCGGATGGGAAGTGGAGCCGCCTGGATTAGAACCAGTGACTATATGGGATCCTGGCGCGTTCAAGACGAGGACTTTAGTCGTTAGGCCACCACACTGGGCCCAAAGGAATGGTTTTCTGTAGAAGACCAAAAAAAAAAAAAACCAATAGGAAAAGGTGATAAAGCTAAAAGTTGTGTGTGTGCGTGTTTAAGGATTCATTCATTTTTATTGGAAAGTCAGAAATACAGAGAGGAGAGACACAGATTCTCCACCTGCTGGTTCACTCCCCAAGCGGCTGCACTGGCCAGAGCTGAGCTGATCCAAAGCCAGGAGGCAGGAGCTTGGTTTTGGTGTGGCTCACATCTGTTTGCTACAGGCATTTGGGGAGTAAACCAGAGGTTGTAAGAATTTGCCTTTCAAATAAAACGGAAAAAAAAAAAAGAACAAGAGTGCTAAAAATAACTTTGTGCCAGTATATTTGACAAATTAGATGGAAAATTTTCTTGAAAACATCAGTGTACCAGGTAACACCATATAAAAAAGAAAAGGAATTATGTAGTAACTGTACTCCTTATCAGAAAACTCTTCCTAAAGAAAATGTCAAGTATAGTTTGTTTCATGTGTTCTGTTAAACATTTAAGAGGATAGCTACAATATTGTGCAATATTCTTTCAGACAAGGAAGGAACACTTCTCAACTGTAGGTCTTACAACATTGGCTAAGAAGGTATACACACACTTATTCGTATCCATCGTGTATCTCTGTATATCTGACTTTCCAGTAGAAATAAATAAATCTTTGGGAAAAAAAAAAAAAGATCCTCTAACACGAAGTTTTAAGGACTAAGTTTGAAAAAAACATAAAATTATGCTGAAGGTGATGAAATATTGCTAAGAAGAATCTAAATGGAGAGATGATTTTTAGGAGGGGAAGACTTAGTGGTATAAAGATACCAATTTTATAAATTCTGTACAGTGCAATCGCAATCCTAAGCAGCTGCTTGGTCTCCTGCATGGGTGCAGGGGCTCAAGGACATGGGCCATCTTCCGCTGCTTTCCCAGGCCGTAAGCAGTGATCTGGATGAAAGTGGAGCAGGTGGGATATGAACCAGTGCCCATATGGGATGCTGGCACCAGCAGCAGAGGATTGGCCAGTGGAGCCGTCACGCCTTTCCCTGTTGGGGGCTTGTTTTTATTTATAATGGGTTTACACTGAGATCCATAGTTTCTGCTTTATTTATGTGCATTTAAATATCCGCAAAGCAGCCTTCATTGAAGTGAGCTGCCTGTCAGTTTATCCCTTGGGTTAGCAGCGACTACATTGATTAGCACACTGAAAGTCAGCTTGTCCACGTTGTGTGCTTGCCCCGTCCCTGTTTCTCCCTTGAGCTCTGTTGTTTCTGCCTTGTAATTTTGTAGATTATTGTTTCACCAGAGATGCCTGTGTTGCAGAGGGCTAATAATTCACTTGTGTTTTTTTTTTTTTAAAGATTTATTTTTATTGGAAAGTCAAATATAGAGAGGAGAAACAGATAGGAAGATCTTCCATCCACTTATTCATTCCCTAAGAGGCTGTGATGGCCAGAGCTATACTGGTCCGAAGCCAGGAGCCTGGAGCCTCTTCCGGATCTCCATGTGGGTGCAGGATCCCAAGGCTTTGGGCTGTCCTTGACTGCTTTCCCAGACAGCAAGCAGGGAACTGGATGCAAAGCGAGGCCCCTGGGATTAGAACGAGTGTCCATGTGAGATCCTGGCCATAAGCAAAGCAAGAACTTTAGCTGTTAGCTCTAGGCCCATGGTTCTCTTGATAGGCATTATTTCAAGTGTCTTTTCTTGGAAATTTTCTTTGGAGTAGGAAAACATTGTGTTTTTTGTTTGTTTGTTTCAGATGTGGAGTCCAGATGTGGGACCAGCACTTTATCACCAGAAAGGGGTATTTATGAAATTTATTCATTCCAGTGGGAGGTAATTGAAAAAATCAAAAGCTGTGGCCTCCAGGGCTTGGTTTTTAGAGATGATTGGAAATGCAAAAGCAAGATTGAAGAGGAAAAGGAGCCAAAGAACACTTGTTTTGAGCAAGGAAACGCTCTCTCTGAACAAATGGCCTCTTACAAAAAGCCAAATATTCTTGCTGACTACCAGGTAATTCATAATGGAGAAAAAATATATGAATGTAAGGAATGTAGGAAAACCTTTATTCGTCGTTCAACTCTGAGTCAGCACTTGAGAATTCACACTGGTGAGAAGCCTTACGCGTGTAAGGAGTGCGGGCAGGCCTTTAGGCAACGTGCACACCTCATTCGCCATCATAAACTTCACACTGGGGAGAAACCCTATGAGTGTAAGGAGTGTGGCAAGGCCTTCACAGTCCTCCAAGAACTCACTCAGCATCAGAGACTTCATACTGGTGAAAAACCTTACGAATGCAAGGAGTGTGGGAAGGCATTCAGGGTACATCAGCAGCTGGCTCGACACCAGAGGATTCACACTGGTGAGAAACCCTACGAGTGCAAGGACTGTGGGAAGACCTTCAGACAGTGCACCCACCTCACTCGACACCAGAGGCTTCACACCGCCGAGAAGCTCTACGAATGTAAGGAGTGTGGGAAAGCCTTTGTGTGTGGTCCAGACCTTAGAGTGCATCAGAAAATTCATTTTGGCGAGAAACCTTACACATGTAAGGAATGTGGGAAGGCTTTTAGAATATGTCAGCAGCTCAGTGTCCACCAGAGCATCCACACCGGAGAGAAACCCTATGAGTGTAAGGAATGTGGGAAGACTTTCAGATTAAGACAGCAACTTGTTCGGCATCAGAGAATACACACTCGTGAGAAACCCTACGAATGTGTGGAGTGCTGGAAGACATTTAGTAGTTACTCCCAACTTATTTCACATCAGAGCATTCATATTGGTGAGCGACCTTACGAGTGCGAAGAATGTGGGAAGGCTTTTAGACTGCTGTCCCAGCTGACCCAGCATCAGAGTATCCACACTGGTGAGAAACCTTACGAATGTAAGGACTGTAGAAAACCCTTCAGATTGCTCTCTCAGCTCACTCAGCACCAGAGTATCCACACTGGTGAGAAACCTTACGCGTGTAAGGAGTGTGGGAAGGCCTTTAGGCTTTACTCATTTCTTACTCAGCATCAGAGGATTCACACTGGTGAGAAGCCCTACAAATGTAAGGAGTGTAAGAAAGCCTTTAGACAACACTCACACCTGACTCAGCATCAGAAGATTCATAGCGGAAGTTAGCAGACAAAAAACCTTCAGACACGCATTATGTTCTGGAACATCAGGAAAGTCATTCTTGAAAACATTCCGTGCTCACAACCAAGTGTCGTTTTATATTGGAATCTGTTGCTTTGGAAACTTCTGTCACCTTTTACTTTGTTTTTTTTTTTTTTTTTTTAATCTTCAGCAAATTCCTTTTAAGAGAAGAATGAATGTGGGAAAATGGTTAGCCTTACCTGTCATTATCTTCGTTTTACTGCTTCATTACCAGGTTTTGGACAAGATATTAAACTTTTATGCCTCATTTTGCTCACTGGTAAAATGGTGATTACAGTACTTATTTATATTAACATCACAAACTTAGTAGTTTAGGATAATGCACATTATCTCAGAGTTACTGTGGATTCCAATCTGTGCCAGAATTAACTGGCTCAGGGATGTGCCCTGATGGCCGTGCTGGCGAAGGATCCATGCGCCCGTAGCCTGAATCCGTGTCGTTAAGAATTGTTGCACTGAGATCCCATTCCTGTCTGGCTGTTGGCTAAATACTGACTAGTTTCTAGCCACAACGACGTGTTCAACACGGCTGCTTGCTTCGTAAAAAACAAGCAAGACAAGCCGGCGATCTTGGGTTCTCATAGAAATATCGTCACGTCACCCTTGCTGGTTTCTGCTGGTTAGAAGTAAATTCCTAAACAAGCCCATTACACGAGAGTGTGAATAGCAGGAGACAGGAACCGTGAGGGTCAGTGTGGCGTCAGCGTGGAGCACCATTGAATAACAATCACAAAGCATATATTCTGTAAATATTATTCATAATTAATGTAATCCGTATTCAAATAAAAGATAGGAGTAATAAATGTAAAAATATCTCCTATTACCTCAGCACTTATTAAACAAATTTATTCCAAGTAAGAAGATATGAGAGATTATAGTGAATACAAGAATTTCTTTATTTGCATCAGAAATTTCATGCTGAAGAAATGAAGTTTCATGAGTATGAGGTTCTTGACTGTAAATATTAAAGATTCAGAAGTATGGAATAATATTTTCATAATTTATAAAAAGCAAATGACTACAATCCCTGTTTATTTCAAGATTAATTTAAAACAACATACTTCAAAATGATGACATAAACTAAGCATTTGGAAAATTAATTTCTTTGTATGCATACAAGCATGTGCATATGTGTGTACTTGTGTGTTTCAAGACTATAAGTCATTCCGTTACCATCAGTGTACTTTGTGGAACTAAATGCCTGACCTTTAACCTGTTGGGGTTGCTTGAGTTGGGTCTTTTGACAGGACCCCACTAGTTGCTTGCTCATTCACTTCTTTACGGCAGCGTAATTTGGTTAGAAGGTAAAGGGGCAGCAACTCCTCGTTCTTACAGTCAACACGGGAGAAAATGAACACTTACTTTCCTTTTTCTGTGTGAACCATAACGTGAGGGTCACTCCCAATTCATCTAATTCAAATTCAGTTCTTTCAAAAAAGAAGTCTAACCAGCAAGTGCAGAAAGAATGAAACCAAGGGCCCAGAAAACAACTCAGTGCACAGGAACATGGAGATTTTATATTAAAAATTGCATAGTGGATTTATCAGGTTGGCCATCTGAATCCTTTGAGACAGTATCTGCTGATATAACGCAATATAATGAACCACTGCCTATGAAATCTTACTACCCAGATAAACAACTGAAGACATCTTGCCTTTAAACCAAGTGGTTTAAAACCAAGAATGAGACCTAGGTGAACAACGCAAGTGGCTTAACGTGGAAACAGAAGAGCCAGAATGTGGAAAGCTTTCTGATTTTTTAAATGAGTGGCATGAAATAAAAGAAAAGGCTACCATTAATAGACTAAAAGCAACTGAAATATGTGGCATTTTGTTGCCATAGAGTTGATGGCAACAAAATGTCAAAAGATATTTTTGAGATGAGGCAAATGTGGATGTAAAAATTCTTTTTTAAAACTAGCGAGTGGCTGTGGTCATTTAAAAATGTTGTAGAGATGTTTGTAAGATCAATGTCCATTAACACATTCTAGCAAAAGAAAAAAATGCAAAGAGAGCTGAACTCCATTGGCAGAATGTTGCTGTTGCTACAGAGGTACTCGTGGGGGTTGCTGTTCTGAAATCTCCACTTTTGTATATGTGGAATAAAATTTTAATAAAATATTTAAAATCAAAACAAATTACAAACTGTTTAGACATGAATGATAATGAAACGCCTGTGTACCTTGAACTTGTGGAGCATTGCCTAAGCTGTGTTCTTTGGGAAAATATTGTCCTGTAATGTATTAAAGAAGTTTTGTTTGTAAGCCCAGTATTCATCTTCACTGGTACACAGAAACCAGCATATCATGCAGAATATGATGAAGGCATGAGTAAGCACTGATGCCAAGAAACAAAAGCATCAAGTATTCATACACTTATTTCTTCATAATGCTTGTGGCCCCGTATGGGACCCCGGCACATGCAAGGCAAGGATTTAGCCACTAGGCTACCATGTCAGGCCCTCACTCATTTGCTTTTATTTTGTTTCACTTTTGATTTTTAGGGTTGTTAAAATATTCTGGGTACTATTAAGGTGTCTTAAGTGTGTTAACAGCTGTTTTTACTAGCATCTTTATTTTTCAGCCTTATTCCAGCTTTTTTCTTAGTTTGTTTTCTGTCATGCAGTCAAGAATACACAAATGGGAAATATTTATTTTGTAATTATATTTCCTGTTTATCATCTAATATAATGGGAATAGCAGATTTTTTTTCCTTTTAATTGTAAGTCATAATCGCCCAGTGTAATGTTTTTTTTATCTGAATGTTCTTTTACGTTCAGTCTTACTTAATGACCGGTAGATTTTACAAAAAGTGTAGTCATCTGTTTGTGAACATGTTTTCCTTTGATTTTGTGATGAATTATACAGACTTCTTTTATGAATCATTCCTAAATGATAGGTTTATTCATCTTTGGTAAGCCCCAGGTATTTTTTTAAATTTAAAGCATTGTTGGGTTGCTGAAGCCTTTTGTCTTGTGTACATGCTTGCGTATACAGCTGTTGCATAGTAAGCAAAATGAGAGGACCCATTTTATCTCTGTTCTCGAGGAATTTAGTTTGTCTTTTCTAATTTGTTTTGCCCCTATAAAACTTTTTAAAAAAATGGTAAGGGAGAAATCAATTGTATTCCAACTCAGCTATCATTATCTGTTGCTGTGTTCTAGTTGGAAGCCAAATTTATAAATAGCATTGTTGAACTGAACTTCTGAAGTTTTGTTGCCCACTGTCCAGTCCCCCGGGCTGCAGCTCCAGGTGGTGCTGTACGAGTTTCTTGAGCAGTCAGTGCAGTGTCATGTATATAAAGTTAATTATATAGGATTCATTATGGTTGAGTCATGCATTTGAACAGTCTAGTCAGATTTATTGGTTTGCTTCTTAGTTTCAAACTATAAAATTTTAGAAGCCAAATGGAAAACCTGAGTTATTCATGTGCATTTTAAGTGTTGAGAGAATTCAAGTATTTAAGCTTTTTTTTCTTTTGACAGCATTAACGGGGGTACATTTATTTCCTACTAGGCCTGGCAGGCTGGGGGGCAGGACAAAGGCCCGGGGGTGTGCAGGCCCACGTGGCTGCCTGGATGACTCAGTGTGCGTGTCAGGATGTGTCGGATGGTTGGAATGATCCTTCTAGGGCTGTGTGCGTGGAAGTCACACAGGTGTTGGGCTTGCACAAGTACAGGACGGAGGTCATGGAGAAGGTACAACAGGTGTGGGATTAGTGGGGTGACCCTTGGCCAAGTGTTCTAGAATGTCTTAGAGCAAGGGGTGTTGTAGGGTTGTGGTACACAGGGGCGTGTTGGGTCTTGACTAAGAAAAAAATGCCTGTGGGTTGGTAAGCCCCCTGAAGATGTGACTGCAGCCTGGATCAACCAATGGGAGAGACCAAGAGTCCAGGATGGCCCATACGGTGAGGCGGTAAGGGAGCAGGTTTGGGAGTACCTGGATTTGTCTGTTTTTGTCAAGAGGTTGCAAGGGACCATGGCTTCCATCCTGACCAAACAGCTGGTAAAGTTGTTAAAATCGGTGTTTCCTCCTGCATCTGAATAGTCAAATGATGACCTTGTAGAAATGCTTGTTTAGGTAGGTCCTTGCTGCGTCCCAGGTCCCTTCGGTTTGCTGCCACCTATTGGTCAATGTCAAACTCTGTACTTGGCTTGCCCCTTTTTGATGTTCTGCAGATTTTTGAACTTGAAGCCCAGCTTGCCACCGGGTTGTGAAATGTGTCAGTACCAAAGCCATCAGTCTTCAGATCAGTACCTTATTGAAAAAGTGCATGAGTTCTGCAGCACCAGCCCTGTCTCACCTCCTGCCATCTCCATGCCAGTGGTGCCCAGAGCGACTGATGCTGATTCTCTGGCTGCTCTCGGTGTTGGTGTGTGAGTCCGAGGCAGTGTAGGCTGGGGCTGTGTTGCACAGCTGCCTCCCTGCAGATGCGGATGACTGCCCAGGATGGGGCTGGCTACTGCTGCCTGCGATCAGGTGTCCAGGCACGCTTCCCAGGGGAACATCCATTCACAGTTATTCTTCCTCCATTCATTTGAAATACCACATTCATCTTGGTGAGTTTTGCTAATTTTTTTAAACACTTATTTATTTTTATCGGAAAGTCAAGTTTACAGATCTTCCGTCCACTGGTTCATTCCCGAAGGATCACAACAGCAAGAGCTGAGCTCATCTGAAGCCAGGAGCCAGGAGCTGCTTCTGGGTCTCCCACGCGGATGCAGGATCTCAAGGCTTTGGGCCGTCCTTCACTGCTTTCCCAGGCCACAAGCAGGGAGCTGGATGGGAAGTGGAACAGCTGGGACACAAACTGGTGCCCACATGGGATCCCAGCGCACACAAGGTGAGGATTTCAGCCACTGAGTCGTTGTGCCGGGCCTGGTGAGTTTAATTGTGTGCTTAGATAATGATAGGTTAACTGGAGCCTTAGTCACGTACCATTCCTTCGTGTCGGGTCCTGA